CCCTGAGAGGGTGAAAGGAGACAAGTAAAGCAGTCGGCATGGGACCTGGCACAAGGCTATCAGAGGAGGCTAGAGTCCATTTCTCCTTCCAGCTGGGCCAGGTTCAGGAGTCCTTAAGGGATAGCCAGGAAGGGGAAAAGGTAGGCAAGCTGAGAACAGCTCCCCTTTGGCCAGTGGTACAATTAGCACACAGTAGGTATTCAATAAAGCGGCTCCTTTGAAAGAGCGCTTCTTACTTGCCTTTCAGACTATTAGAGTCACATTTGATTCCACACAATCTCTCTGCACAATCCTACCTCTCTTGGGTTCTTGTTTGTGGTTCTTAACCTGAGAAGGTGCCTGAGACTGCCAGAGAGGCACCAAGATCTAAAAGAGCTGGCAGAGGAAGCCTCCTTCTGAGAGGCCACTGTTCCCAGAGTAACCTTTGGGCAGTCCAAGCCTGCTCTCAGGTCAACTTGTTCAAACTAGTTAGTACATCTAACCTCGCTGCTCACAAACATTTACTACAGGCCTGTAATGTGCAAGGCACTAAGTGCCCTGGAGGGTTCCAGGCAGATTAAGAGCACGGGCTTCTGCAAACCTAAGAGGGAGTCCTGGCTCTCCTCCTCACAGGCTATGACAACTTGGCATGTTGATCAACCTCACGGAGACTCTGTTTCCTCATTTGTAAAGGGAACATAACTGGTTCCTGTCTCACAAGACCTTGTCATAGGTCTGGGAGGCACGTAGCACAGCACCTCTTACCAAGTAAGTGCTCAGTGAGTAGCTGAAGCTACAACGCCAGTACCAGCAGGTGGCACACACTGGATGTGTCACCAGCAAAGCCTTGGGCATCATGGGTACTCCACAGTGCCTGAAATGTCCCACCTTGCATAACACCTCCAAGCTTCAGGTCATCATTAGAAGGCCAGTGAGACGCAACAGCTTCCCAGGAACCAACCTCCGAGTCTGCCCAGACTCCACTTTCCCGCGGGTGCAGCTGCCCACACCCTGCTCAGGACCAGGACTCTCCCCCGTGCAGAATGAGGACTTTGTATGGCATCTGGTTCTGGGAACACTGCTTAGTCTATTCCTTGGCACAGGACCTGCAGGGCAGGTTTGCAAAAGCGTAACACACATTCCGACTCACAGAGCACCGACTGCTTCTGCCTTTCGCTCCGGTCATTCACCGACCAGACACCCCCATCTTCCTCCAGTCAGCCTTGGTATGGAGGGGGCCTTGCCACATCCTTTCCCCACAAGTCACTTCAAAGACATGACTTCCCAAGATATCTTCACTTGCCCTTTTCACTTGTTGGCAATGAGAATGACTTCCTTCCTGGCAGAATAACCGAGAATCACACACAGTCATCGTGGCTACCCTGCTCCCTCCACGCCTATGCTCAATCAACCACATGCTGGACCTCTGGGGACTCTGCAGGGAGCCCGCCCTCTGCATCTGGACTGTAAGGACCCAGGACACAGAAGGCAGACAGTTTCTCTTCCACATGTCACCACAGTAGGATGCAGACACTGCCATCAACGCCTGTCACTTGGATTGAGCAAGAACAGCCTGTCCCCACCCTGGACCATTTCGCTAACATTCAGACCAGACCAAAGAGTTAAACTCTGGAGTCCTTGGGACCTGACTGTCTCCTGCTGTGCAGTTTCTCCCTGGCTTTGGCCTCCACTTTGCTTATCGTTTCCCCAGAACCTGGTTACAGGTGACCTATGTCCTTTATCGGAGTGGGCAAGGTTTGCCTGCCTTTGCCTTCCTGGCTGCTAACCTGCTTTACAGCCGGACTTTCTGTGGGGTAGTGTGGTCCCCAGGGGTCTGGGAAGCTGGATGAGCAAAATGAGGAGGCTGCAGATATGGAGGAAGAGGGAAGAGGAAACGTGAGGCCCAGTCTTGGCTCCACGATGAACCCCAATTCCCCTGGAGGAAGCTGAAGAGGAGTTGGCAGACCTTCCTGTCCCTGTCTGAGGTGGGGGTGGGGCAGGGAAACCAAAGGTGAGGCCAGTCACAAGTCAAGGGTAAAGGGAAGTCCCACAAGTGGTGGGCTGGGTCCCAGGACAGGGTGGGTGGGGGCAGTGCTGCCCTTGGGGGAAAAGACAGGAATTAGCTGGTAACACCAGGGAGCAAGCTGGGGCGTTGGGGCTATCCTCAGAATTAAGCTTCCCCTGTTTCACCTTGAGCATTAAGCTTCCCCCAACCTCATCGTCCCCTCATCACTGCTATGACCTCTGCTGGGTTTGGAGTGGTCATCACTAGGATGATGAATGTTCCATTTTTCCCTGGGCAGTTTGGCTTTGTGTCCATTGTCCTGGTATAACCATGCACCGCATCCCTTTTCACTCTCGAAAGTATCCCAGTTTGCAAGATACATTACACAGGGACTCTTTCTCGCATATCCAGGAGGGCACTGACACAGGAAAAGGTTAGGGACAAATCAGAGAGAAGCAGAACAAGAAGCGGGGCATGGTGGCCTAGAGTGACAGCCAGGCTGGCTTCAGCCAAGCTGGATCCTCTCAGAACTGGACAATAGTGGAGGGAGAGCCTGAGAATTGCTGCCCACCCTGGGGCTCAAATCGTCTTGGAGTCAGGGGCTGGTCTGGTGAGTTCTGCTTCCTGCCATCCCTCAGAGGGCCTGGAGTCATGCTGGGTGCACAAGAGACTCCGAATCAAATCCCGTCAATTCTTTACTTCCCTCTGCCTGCATCCAAAACAGAGCTGCAGCAGGGACACATGGATGCTGGAGCCCTGTAATTCCTTATTCAGCAACACACCAAACGTCATCCAGGTGCTCCTCCTGTCTCTGGCTCTCTGGCCTCTAGGACCTGACTGCTGCACAGGCAACGGCGAGTTTCCAGCAGACGTTCCAGAGGCCCACCCCACCCAGGACAGAGTGAAACAGTGGAAACTCCCTTTCCTGTCTTAGATAACCACCTGATGTAGCCCACTTGACCCCAGGCCTTTCTCCATTGACAGCCTGGGCTTTGGACACCTGTTCTAGGGGTAGAGTGTAGGGGTCCCAAAGGTCTTCTTGGAGCCTCCTCTGGGACTTAGTTACAAAAGAGATCAGGTCCGAGGTCAAATAGGGGAAGACTGAGAAACCATAAACATAAATTATCAGGGCACCCCAAACAGTACCTGACCTTCCATAATGTTTATACAAACGAAGTCTTTGGCCTCTGCTGAAGAGGAGCAAAGGGTTGGGGAAGCTTTCTAACTATCATTTTTCCTCCTCCTTTCTTACCCCATTTTCAAGTTCCTTCTTTAGCTTGGTAAGGGTCCAAGTCACAGCTGATCAGGAGCAGCCAAACCCAAAGCCATGGGATCCAGCCAGAGCACAGACTGTGAATTCCCCAGCTTTTTGCAGTTTGAATCAGCCTCACAGCCTGGTTGGCCTCCCAGGACTCTTCTCAAATAGGTCCAGAGATGTTAGTGAGTGGGGGCCGTGGACTCTGCAGGGAGGGCGACTTCTGCTCAGGGTCTCTAGCACCCAAAACAAAAGCCAGGGAGAAATGCACAGTCTTACCACCTCCTGGTGGGGCTGCATGCCAGCCCTGAAGCTGTTTCAGAAAGACCCACAGTTGCCTCCAGCACTTGGACAGTGAAAGGATGGCAGAAGTCCTCTCAACACACAACACTCTCAGTTCACAGAATTGAGGCTCCAGTGTTCAGACGACCCATCTCTACCTCAGCAAACCAGCCCACTCCCCAACCTGGGTTAAAACCTCGTTTGCCGACACCATGACTTCCCTGGTCCCAGACTTTCCCAGTTTCTTCTGCTCACCCACTTCACTAGCAGAGATGGGCCGCTGACAAGACCACTAGGCAGAAATGGAATGAAAGGCTGGAAAAGCCTGCAGTGCTGAGATCCCAGGAGAGAGGTGAGATGTGGATTTATCACAAAGCCACTGTCCCTTCACAGTGACCTCCTGCTGGAATCATCCCATTGCCATTCCACAATCACTGCCGTGTTGGCGTCTGAGCCCTTGCCATGAGGAAGACCACCTTCCAGCAGGGAGCTGGAGCAGAGCCGAACTCTGCCCAGGAGAGCTTCTGCAATGCTCAGAAAATGCCTGCTCAATTGCTTGCCTGGGCTCTGGCCCCTTTGGCTGCAACTGAACCCAGACAGGAGGCTGACTCACTCACCGCACGCATAGAGGAGGAGGAGGAGGAGGAGGAGGAGGAACAGGAGGAGGAGGAGCTGAGAGAAGGGCCTGGGCTGGGAGACCCAAGTCTCCGCCAGCCCAGGCTGGGTCTCTGACTCTGGTCCCTGGGTGAAGAGAAGGAGGGACAGTTGTCCACTGGCCCTGGAGACCACAGGCTGTTCCCGCCTAGATACTTCTGAATCTTCCTCACCGCCACCTACAGAAACAGGGCACCTCGCTTCCCAAACAGAAACCACTCCCTGAGCCCCTTCCTCATTTAAATGCTTGCCCCTGAGATCCTCTGAACATCTATTGACAGGCTGTCTTGGAAAAACAGGGCGATTTAAGTCTAAAATCATTGGTAGTTCAAAGAAAAATCAAGAAAAAAATTACTTAAAAGACCCAACTCCACCATCGCAGGTGACCGTACCTGAGCCCTGTGAGATAAATGAGGCTACACGCCCTCCGCTCCGCAGCCCTGAGCGCCATCGACAGCCAATCGCTCCTTTTCTTGTTCCTCACTCCATGCCAAGGCGCCCCGGCAGAGGAAGGAAACAAATGCTTCTTGTTGCCCAAGTGCTGAGCCCGGCGCTGGCGGAGCATTTCTCCTTTAAGCTGCCTGAGCACTGAGGATGTCGCCACCCTCCTCCCCAGCCTGGCACGAACTTCGGCTTTCTCAAACCTCAGTGCCCCCTTAGTGTCCCAGCCTCATGGCACAGCAGCCGGGATCTCGGTCGCCAAGTTTACCGCGGAGACTTGGACTCTAATGCTCGCACCCGTGCACTCACGCCCCGGTACCCCCGACGCCCCGACCTCGAGCCCCTATCCTGAGACCCCCTTCCGTACTTCTCCCGGGTCCGCACCTGGTCCCGCCGGCGGGTGGACAAGCTGTTCCGCGCTCCCGGCGCCCACGGCTCGGCAGCCGCCTTTTGACAAGCAGAGACAGCCCAGCACCTGGCCCCGCCCCTCGAGCGGGCCCCGCCCCTTTCCCCGCCCCTCGAGCAGGCCCCGCCCCTTCCCCGCCCCTCAAGCAGGCCCCGCCCCGCCCTCGGCCCCGCCCACAGGTCCCGTCCTCTCCTGCCTGGAGTTCGGTCTGCCCCGCAACCATCTTGACTTGGAATCGTCCGCCCCGCTGTCGCCTTAGAGACTCTGCCTCGTGAAACTTTCATCGACCGTCGCCCATGGGGCAAGGTTCGCTCCTGCCCTGTGCGGGACAGAGTTGCCGATGGATACAGAGGAGCAGATCCCCGCCTCAGCCTGCGTTATTCGGGGACGCAGTCCCCCACCCTTCCAGCCTGCTGCGGACCCCGGGCCGGGTGCGTCACCCCCACCTGGGCCCGCGGGACGCTGGGGGGCGCCTGCCGACGGGCACGGGTGGGAAATCGCGTTCCTGCTGCAGAAAGCCGGGAAGCTCAGCCTGATCCCGCAGACGGGGGTAAAAGATCCCGGGGGCCCAAGTGGAAACTGGAGTCGCGTCATCGCCCCCACCGAGGTCACCTCAGCAGCGACCGCGGCTGACCACGTTCCCGGCCTGTCGCGAATTTCACCCAAGGGAGCTGAGTCTCAGCTTCCCTGGTCCCCAGTCCCCAGTTCCCCCTTCCCCGCCGTGGCATCGGCCTGAAGGGAAGAGATAAAGAATCCATCCTGTGTGTGGCTGCGGAAAATACACACAGAAAAGTTGGGCTAAAAGTTACTCACTGCTCCCCTTGACGGTGTGCTAGGCACCGCCCTAGGTGCCAGGGGAGAGGTGAAAAAGATGGGGTTCCCTCCTTCTCAGAACTCACTGTGCAGTGGGAGAATGTACAAATAAGTAGTAATCACAACATAATCTTCTGGAATAGAAATGCCCACAAAATAATCCAGCAGCTGATGATTAGCCAGAGAAGATATCGCTATTCCCCTCTTACAGAGGAGGAAAACCATGGCTTAGAGGGTCAACGTGAAAGGCTGGGAAACTGAGGCATAGAAAGGTTAAGTGATTTGCCCGACATGACAGCTTATCAGTGAGGACTAGTGCTAGAGCCCAGCAAGTCTGCTGGTGCAATGGTCTCTGAACCGTTTCTGAAACAGCTATGCTGGAGGGCATCATAACCAGCCCCTCACAACTCAATAATACGGTTAAAAGAAAAAGACTGAGATTAAACAGAAGGAAGAAGTTTGCAACAGGGAAGTTTGTTAAGCACGGAAATAGTTCATTGTGGAGGTGTCACGGAAACTTTCTGAGAAGACTCAAACAAAAGACAGAAGAGAGGTACATCGTTTGATCGAATTTGGGAACGGACCGTTTATTCTGAGAAACAGATGAAGACTCCTTTAGAGGTCCTACCAGTCTCTAATGGATGCATTCTCTACCTGTAACAAAGTAATAGAATCCCCTTGCCCAAAGCATCATGGGAAAGCTAATGGTGATTCTCATGGGTAGAAAAACGTAAGAGGAAATTTCCAACTGCCAATACCTTGGGACATTCTCTGGAAGTCCTATGAGCCTCTGGAAGAGGTTGAGCACTCAGAAGTCACTTTTGTGGTGCTTGGTTGGCCTGACATCTTGCAAATAAACCTTATCAAAAGATGGTGGAAGATGCATACCTAAATTCCATAGTCATTGACTGTGAGTCTTTTTCACAGCTCTTTGTTGGAATAGAGGTATTTGTAATTCACATGTGTAAACTGCTTTATAGTATAAAGAGAATTATTTTGAATATCTTACTTGATCTTCATCACAGCCTTTCCAGACAGGCAGAGTAGAAAATGCTGTCTCCATTGTGCAACTAATGTGCAGTTGTCAAGGTTTTTACAGTTGAGGAGTGTCAGAGATACTGGACCCAGGTCTTCTCTCTGCACATTCCATGCTGTCTCTCAAAAAAAAAAAGTTCCATGCACTTTTCACAGAGTTGGAGAACTCAGAGGTTCTGTATTTGGCAAACTGGCAAGATTATAGATGTCATCACAGTCCCCAGCACATGCTGTTATCAGCCCCATCACCTTGTCCCTAACCGCGTTCTTCTCATCTTCCCCCAATTCCTGAACCCTTTTCTCTCATCCACTTCTCCAGATCCTCTCCTGTTTCAGGTCCTGCCTATCCCATCGGGCTTTTCCAACATATCCCAGCTGGAAGGAGATGTCAATTCTCTGGTCTTGGTAGCAGGCACTGTATGAATTGCATGGTTTGGCACCCGATAATGAACCATCGTGTATTAACATTGAACAAAGATAGATTATTTTGCTTGTTTTATTCTTAGAAGGAAGGTTATTTTGTGAAAGTAGAAAAGCAAGATCATGTGAGATTCACTTCTCTTGTGCTTTGTTGTAACCCTTAATTGTCTCTGGACCCTGCTTCTCCCTAGCGAGGAATACAATCAGAGAGGGAGGTTTCTGGGTTGCTGTCTCACACCTTGTTCTCTTGATGCCTTGGTGACAAGCACCATTCCTGCACTACAGAGCTAATAATTGTGAACTCCTCTATCTTGACTTCTCTATAAACCGTGTACCAAAACCACTGCAGAAAACATTAATTTCTCTTTTCCCTGAAGTTAGCATTTCTCATATTCTCACTTATCCCTGGGATGGGTAGGGGTCTTTACTGGGATGTACGGATTGTTTTTGGTCAGTACTCATCTCTGCCAAATTACATCAGGGAATATCTGCCAGGCACTTGCTTAGTTAATATTAACCAAGTGTGATGGTGTGCTAGATACCCCGCTATAGTGCCAAAGACTCCACAATCGGTATTGAAACAAAAGAGCCCTTCCAGGTGCAACCGACTTCGATGGAAAGATTCCAGAGTTGCTAGGCTGAGGATTTCATTTTATTTATTTCACTCCTGTGCATTTCATTCTGGAGACTCCAAAGAAAGGCAGGGTCTGGCCTCCGGACCTCTCTGCCAGGCTCCAGGTACCTGGGGATGGCCTGGGCAGTTATGGCTGTGGTCAGGCCACAGAACTGCAGCCTGGCCTCATGTCTAGGCTTCCCTTTTCTGCAGCCTGGCCACTGTCCTTGAGGCTGCTGATGCTCTCTGAAGCTCTTGCCATGGTGTCAGAGCTTAAGTGGATCACATTGTCCCTCTGAGGCTCCCAGAGACTCTGTTTCCACGGACAGGGGTTTTTGAGCTGTCTACAGGCTGTTCTGCCGGTAAAAATGTGCCCTTTGAGCTCTATCTGGAACACTCCCATCTAACTGTTTGTTTTTCTCTTTGTAGGGCCCTTGTTCCCCCCTAAAATATTTTATGGTTATGGGCACAGTAGGACTGAAGGGAAGCGTCTCTTCAGTGAACACTCAGAGAACATTCTGAGAGACACAGGTGCAGAGCTGGACAGAAGGGGCCAGCCCAGCTTCTCCGTTTGCTCCCTTGTTTTTGGTTTTTTTTTTTTTTTTTTTTTTTTGTTAAAGCACATTATTGGGAGGCTGAGGCGGGTGGATCACGAGGTCGGGAGTTTAAAACACACATTGAGTCCAGAAAGATTAACTCATTTATATTTCCTAACTATGTTAAGACAAAAAGGATCAGGGATGATTCTCCTTATTTAGTTCCAGATGGTGAAAATAGAATGAATATGTAAAAAGCTGTAGCAATGAAAACACACCAAGGGGTCTCCCCAGGACAGTGTTTTTCAAATGTTTAACTGCAGCCTGCACTAAGAAGTAAGTTTTTATCATGACCTGGTTTACCCAGGAATATATATGTTTTCTGATACAAAGATGTTCTACAATGTTTTCTATGATTTTCTCCATCCCCTTTTCCTTCCTTCCTCCTTCTCTCCTTCCCTACTTCCTTCCTTCCTTTCTCTCTTTCTTTCTTTCTTTCTTTCTTTCTTTCTTTCTTTCTTTCTTTCTTTCTTTCTTTCTTTCTTTCTTTCTTTCTTTCTTTTCTTTTCTTTCTTTCCCCTCCCTCCCTCCCTCCCTTCCTTCCTTCCTTCTCTCCTTTTGGGATCCACCAAATTGATTTCACAGCCCATTAACACTTTGTGACCAAAAATATAACATTAAAAATCCTACCTTGGCCAGGCACAGTGGCTCACTCCTGTAATCCCAGCACTTTGGGAGGCCCAGGTGGGCTTACCACGAGGTCAGGAAATCGAGACCATCTTGGCTAACACCGTGAAACCCTGTCTCTACTAAAAATACAAATAATTAGCCTGGCATGGTGGCACATGCCTGCAGTCTCAGCTACTTGGGAGGCTGAGGCAGGAGAATCACTTGAACCCAGGAGGCGGAGGTTGCAGTGAACTGAGATCAGGCCATTGCTCTCCAGCCTGGGCGACAGAGGGAGACTCTGTCTCAAAAAAAAAAAAAAAAGAAAAAAAATCCTACCCTACACAGTGGCACAGGTCTGTAACCCCAGTACTTTAGGAGGTTGACATGGAAAGATTGGTTTGAGGCCAAGAGTTTGAGACCAGCCTGGGCAACATAGTGAGACCCTAACTCTATAAAAAATGTAAAAATTATCCAGGTATGGTGGTGTGTACTTGTAGCCTCAGCTACTTGAAAAGCTGGGGTGGGAGGATCACTTGAGCCTGGGAGGTCAAGGCTGCAGTGAGCTATGATCATGCCCTTATGCTTGAGGCCTGGGCGGCAGAGTGGGACCCTGTCTCAAAAAGAAAAAACAATCTTCCCCCAGATCACGGGCTAGGCTGACGTGATTGTTGCAGCAGCCAACCGACAGAAGACTCCATCCAGGCATTTGACTGAATAACTGAGCAAGTCCCGCTTGCCATGAGACCCCCTCATTTAGAACCTGCAACATGAGACTCACAGAAATATGTTTGAGAGATCATCAATGGCATACATGTAGCCCCTTCAGAACCCTGCAGGGGCTCCACGATGGTTTTGGTGATTCTACCTCCAAGGGCATGTGGTCAGGGCTAGGTCACTGAGGCAGAATGTATCCACCCAATGTTTGCCTTTTCCAGGTTTGGGGGGTTCTTTTAGCCTCAAGATGCCTATAGTATCTCAGAAATCCTGACTGCTCCAGAGCAGAACAGAACAGC